AAGTAGTAAGATGAAGCCGGAAAGTGTTCTTGCTTTAGTCTTAATGTGAGACTCTTACAAGAATGAAACCCAGCTCTGACGATGTCCATCATATGATGGACGAAAGCTGAGCACGCTTTTTCCCCAAACGAGGGAGGAATACATGTTGAAAAGAATAAAAGTAACGGGAGACGATTTCGAGTTGTAAATAATAAGACAGTGACGAAGTGTGTTGTTGGCATAAGAGAACAGTTTTCCGTCACAGAGTCGCAACAGCCCACGTTAGGCGGCCGAGAAGCGTCCTCAGTCCAAGGAGTTTCTGGTCTACAATCCTGATTGGTTTAACAGGAAGGCTCGATGCGGTTCGCTTAGTTGCCGCGGGACATAGTGAAGATGGGTCGGACTCAGAGTGGTGTTGCGTGAGTTGAGAGGCCACTGTTTACTGGCTGGTTGTGAAAAGAGCTGTAGCCGGTATGGGGTAAATGTGACCACAGATCCAAGCAAGCACACCGCTTTGCACGGATCCTGCCCACAATGCAAAAAAACTTGTTCGTCGACTTATTATGTCTGCCAGAATCACAACGGAGCTCGGTTGCTTGTTCCAGATGATTGGTCCTTCCGATCTCATTGTTATCTACATTTATTTGCCCTCTTTTAGACGTCAATGCGAACGACGCCCCGGTCGGCTTCATCACGCTTCAAATTGAGGTCTTCAAGCATCCAGGCTCTGGTGAATTCAAGGTCATAACGAAAAGCAAGTTCACTTTCCTCTATTGCATGATACACTCACAGAAACATGTCATTCTCTTGTTGCATGATACAAAGGCCTGCTTGCAAATGCTGTCGTTGTTAGCCAGTTTTTCGAGTGCATCTGCTTCTCTTCCAGCCAAAGTGGTAGCATCAACCCTTCCGAATGTGAACGGACCAAATGACATTTTGGGTCAGACTAAGGATCTGGGCTTGTGCTGCCTGTACCACAAGAATGGCCCAGACTTGAGGCAAGGGAGAATGGATAGATTGCGATAATAACAACATTCAGACATCACAATGCTTGTACCCTCTCGGGCTGGAAGGACACACACACATCGTTGAGCCGACTTTCCATAGTCGTTTGGCTTGGTTCCATGTTGGCCGATGGGGCAAGCTGGTTGATGAGACACTGAGAGTGGCCTAAGTTGATTGGCCAATGGCTCAACAGGCAGAACTGAGGGACTGTTTGAGTTGTGTTCACCCTATTTCCTTTAAGGTGATGAGGCACTGTTGGTTGATGTTTTGCACCATTGCATTGCACACAGTCTTGATTTCCTAAAAGGTGTTCTCATCCGGGGTGAACACAACTCATATTTATGATTTACTGATAGTCTCGAAAACCTACTCATTTACGAAAAAAGTAGTGAAAGTGCATGAAAAAGATATTCGTTGACGGATGAATCGCGTTGTACTGCAGCCTGTTGGCTTTGATACGAAGTTCAGGTTAACATAGTTCACGAGACTTCCAGTGCAGGACCTGAACTATCGCGGTTCGAATCCCGCTGAGGGTGTTGATAAGACCAATGCGAGGTAGA